CCTCCACCTCTCCATCACCTGCCTCCATCACCCGTGGGCCCACGCTCAGCACCTCCTGGTTTTGGGACTTGGTGTGAATGCCTGGGTCTGGATGACAGCAGCAGGGCTGGGATGCACAGGCAGAGCATCCCTGTGGGAGCAGGAGCCTGTCTCGTTCCGCCCTGTAACACGCTGCACCCTGCCCGTCACAGCTCACGGGTGGTGGGGACGTGGCCATGCTGGAGGTGCAGGGGGACTACTTCCACGCACACCTGAAGGTCTGGTTTGGAGACGTGGAGGCAGAGACGATGTACAGGTAACGTGGCTGAGGCGGGGAACAGCAGCTGGGTCTGGGCTGTGCTGGGCAACTCTGGGGGGACACGGCTGCTGACCTTGGGGACAGGGGCACTTGCACTGCCTATTCTACAGGACCAAGCATGAGCATTGCAAGGAGAGGGAGGGATGGGTCTGGCTGGTGCTCTCTGCCCTGGCTGTAGTCTAGGGATAGCGGTGGGTGGAGCACAACAGGGACCTCAGGGGGCTGCAACCAACCAACCAACTCTGCAGAGGGGAAAAAAACACCAGGGAGGAGAGAGGAAACTGGCCAGAGGCTTCACACTGAGCTCTAGGCTGGAGAAGACATGCTGGCACTCACTGCTGGCTGCTTCTGCATAGGACCCTCTTCAGCTAATGCATGTTTTCCTCTACTGCACCATTCCCAGGAGCCCCAAGTCCCTCGTGTGTGTCGTCCCTGACGTCTCTGCCTTTGGCAGTGACTGGAGGTGGCTGCGATACCCCATCACGGTCCCACTGCTCCTGATCAGGGATGATGGCCTAATCTACTCCAGCTCATTCACGTTCACCTACACCCCAGAGCAGAGCTTCATCCCAGGGCAGCAGGTCCTCTCGGATGTCCCACAGGACACAGACAAATTACTTGACAGCATCCATCAGGAGTTCACCAGGACCAACTTCCACCTCTTCATGCAGAGCTAGCAAGCCGGGGGGGCAGAGGCTTGGCCTCACTGCCAGCCCTGGGGAAGGGCAGCAGCCCCAAGCCCTGCCAGGGTTTGCCATCCAGGGCTCAGGGTGGCCCTACCAAAGGGTCCTCCCCACACGTTGAATGCCCACCATGTTACTGTGATTTGCTGACTTCTCTCTTTTTCGTGGCAGCATCGCTCATCTTCACGGCAGCATATCACCCTGCTGAGATCTCATACGAGAGTATCAATAAATCAGACTTTAAGGACTCATTGATTCAATTGCTTCTTCACTAACTTTCACAATTTACCTCCCGTGCTGGCACAGAGCATCACAGCTCCCTTGATGTCCTCAGTCCAGGATTCAAAGGCCAGGAGGGACAGCAGTGAGGCATGTAGGAGACCTTTAGTATTATTGATCTATGCCAGGAATCCCTGCATCGCTTCTGTGCTTTTTGGCAGCCAAATACCCAGCACCAGCTGTTTTGGTTTTTTATTGGGGGCCCAAATGGGGTTATTTCTAAAGGAAAAGGAAAAAAGAGAGAGGAAAAAAAACTTCCGTGTGAAACCCAGCCCTTCCCTAGCTCGCGTGGCCCTGCTGAGCTCAGTTGTTTTACACACTTAGAATCACACAGAACTTGCAGCGCTGGCATCAGCACGAAAGTGCTGACCTAAAGATACCATAAAAAGCAGACAGGTTTTTGGAGCCAGACCCGAGAGTTACACAGAGTGGGTCTTACAGCTTTATTTAGTCTTCAGATCTCTGTGGCATCAAAAGGCCCATGGTGCACCTGGAAACCTGCTGGTTTGGCAGTCCTGAGCTGGGGTTTGAAACAACCCAACTGCCATACCCACAGAGGTATTTATCCCATGCTGAACTCAGCGGCAGTGGGCAGGGGAGCCCCACAACCCACAGCACCCCAGGATTACATGGGCATCCCAGGCTCATCACCTGGCTTACCTGTGTTTTGTACGATCCAGCACATTTCAGACAATGGCACGGCATGGACCAGCAGCCCTGGCATGCAGCCCCTTCTCGGCCTTGCTGTGAGTATCCCCTACTGTGCTGCAGCTCCAGATGCCATATTCAGGGCTGCTGGGAACCAACAGCCTCGTACCACCCAGCATGGAGATGAACAGCGATGCCCACTAATGTCTTGGCTTCTTCCCTCTTCAGCTTGTGCATGGCTCCAATTCCCATGGGAGCACAAGAGCTTGAGTCTCGAGAGTCCTAACACGGACCTTCCCAGGAGGAAACACCTCCCTAAACTCCACCAAGATATAGGGTTAATTCTTCCCCAAAAGAGGAACCTCACAGAGGGTGAAAAGCTGTGGGCAGGCACATCTGTGTGCAACTGGAGCTGCAGCTACTGGGGGAAAAACTCAGGGAGAATATTATAGCACATGCCAACAGCCAAGGGCTGGTGGACAGAAGAGTAACCACGTGAGTCACTGCAGGGAGCTTCAAAAGGAAACAAGTCCTTCGGAGCAGGAGGCAGATCCCAGTGTGCTCATTAGGTGTTGGGAGCAGCTGGTATGAAATCTTACTACTCACATTCCTGGCAAATAGTGGAGCATCTTATAGAGATGCTGGGGGCAGTGGAGGCTTCCCCTGTGTGGCAGCTGCTTGGGCCACCCCCTCTGCCCACGCTCACCATCCCCTACGCTCACCTCCCCAGCAAATCCACCCCAGTCCTAATGTAATCAAGGATGTGATTAAGGTGAACGGAGGATCCCTCTTATCTCCCCAAAAAGCATTTTCTCCCCCATCTTCTCCAGGAAGAGCTGGAAGGCAGTGAAAGGATGGGGCTGAGCCTTTCAGTTTCTGCCTGCATCTTAGGCAAAAATGTCTGGAGCCGACTGGCTCCTCAACCCGCTCCCCTCCCTCGGAGGCCAGGGCATAATTCACATTTTATGAATGGAAAGCACCCTCGGCTATATTTAGCAGCAGCCGTGGTCCCAAGGGGCAGGACGAGCACTGCTTGTTGACTTCAAGGACTTGGAACAAGCCTGCCTTGTTATGTTTACAGCACAGCACTTTTCTGGAGAGGCCAAGAAAGCGTCGAAGGGCTCGTTCTTGAAGCCTGATGGATTAAGCAAACAGCCACAGTAATTCAAGCCACATGGAGAAAGGGGAGAGGCAGCAGGAGAGGCTAGGGGGACCTCGAGGGGCTCCTGCCTTTCCCTAATCTGTGTTTAATCTGCTTGTCACAGCAGTTCCCACAAATGGAAACAGCTCCTGGAGAAGACACTTTCCTGTCACAGGGAACATATGCTCCACCTCACTTCAGCGGAGCTGGTAGCATCAGCAGAGCCGTTTATTTGCATAATCACCAATTAACACAAATGTCTCGTGCACAGGCGCCAGCCATCCAGCAGTACGTTCTCGCTCAAGTTGGCAGTGCCCGTCTCCAACGAATCCCACCATAACCCAGCACGTGTTGGGGGAACACACACAGACCATCCCGCCGGCCCCAGCGAGCTGGGCTGCGTGCTCGGAGCTGAGCTGACTGGCAGTGCCCGGCTGGCAGCTCTTTTCTGTGCTCCAGAATTGTACATGTAGTTTTCCCCATCGCCAATGGAGCCGGAAAAAATGGGTATAAAATTAAGCATGGGGAAAAAAATCCCTTCACACTACTCTGTGAAAAGCATTGAATGCTTTAGGGATTGTCAGGATAACTTACGCTGTGTGCAGCTGAGGCGTTGCGTGAGCATCCCTGGGTGATGGTGATGCTCGAAGCCCCTGCCCCCCAGGGTGCATCTGCGGCTGCCCAGAGTCCCACCACCTCCAGGAGCCATTGGAGGTCCCGTTGATGAGCGTACCTTTCAAAAGCACCAGGAAGAAAATAAAATCCGGTCTTTCCCTCCATGCAAAAAAAAATAAAAATCAAAACAAAAAAAAAAACACACCAAAAAGCCGAGAGGAACACAAAATCTGGTCCGGGCCAGTGTCTGCCTGCCCGGGCTCTGCGGCGCTGGCGAGGCCGTTTGGAAGAGGAGCTGCTGCCATCTAGTGAGCGCAGCCACCGGCACCCCTCCTGCTGAGAACCCCGCACTCATCACACCGCCCCTGCTCACGGGCTCCGACCCAGCCTGGGGATCAGCTGGGCACCCCGGGGGAGCCCTTGAGTGCTCCAGTTTCTTGGTGTAAATGTCACTTAGCGTAAAGGTCTGTGTGACCAGCCCTTAAGAATGGGGGGTGATGTGGGGATGCTGCTCTGCCCACCGGCCACGGGAGAGGTGCAGAGAAAAAACCCTTTCTCTTGGAAAGGTGACGCCCTTGGGGCTGATGCCCAGGGCTAGGGCAGTGCACGGGTGGGGCTCAGCCAACAAGACCAAACCAAGGGGCCAGTTACTGTATCTTGAGCCAAAAAAATCCCTCTCCCTTACAAAGCACCTGCACTGGTCCCAGTCCCACCCACAGACCCCAGTGTGGTCCCATCACCCCAAGCATCCCTCCCAGAGCACCTTTGGCCCCGGCTCAGTGCATGCTTGCCTACAGGGCCATAGGTTTGGGCAGTGCCCAGGAAATCCGTGCTGATTTTTCCCTTTTTCCAGCAGCTATAAATAACCCAAGCTGGGCAGTGGGATGCACCAGGGCCGAAATAAGCTGAGTTCGGTTGTTGAGGAATTACAATTACCTGCTCAAGAGATTCAAGGCACATCGGGAACTGCCCAGGCATATGGCCCCACTGGCCAGACTGAAAAAGCAAAACAAACAAGCAAGCCAAAGAGCATTAAGAATAGAGTGAGCCAGAGACACCCACGGGTGCCCACATCACAGGCAATGCCAGGAGTGGGTATTGTTAGTCTCCGTCCGGAGACAAGCTGTTTGGGGGCAGAAACTGCCACGCTTCTGTACCCACAGCTCTGGGCACTCAGCCCTGCCAATGCAGCCAAAAAGCCTGTGGAAAATTTGGTTTCCTTTTTTAAGGTTTTGTGTTGGGTTTTTTTTGCCTTAAAACAAGAAAAAAAAGTTGAAAACAAGCTTACTTCTGACAAGCTCCCTGGGACTCCCTGCAGCCCCGGGAAGGGCTGAGCTGTCAGGGGGGTGGCAGTATCCCTGTGGGATGCAGGGCTGGACCACTGTCCCAGGGATGCCATGGGGCTTGGTGACTGAATTTGGGGTGCAGGACCAGCGCTGGACACAGCTCCCCATGGCCAGCCCCACACTGCAGCACGGCCAGGGGGTCTGAGGAGCCTGGTTAGTGGGGCAGGATGGAGGGAGCTGGCAATCTGCTTTCATCCCACTCTCAAAAGAAACACACAGATAGTTTCCTCAGGGTTCACTGGGGAAGGAAAGTAATTTCTTAAACAGCTTAAATGAACAACTGGGCTTGAAAAACACAGACCTGATTTCCACGCGCCGTTGCAGTAATTAGGCATGCAAAGCAGGCAGACAGGTACTGGTCAGCACCAAGAAAGAAATGACTGGGTGCAGCTCCCTCCCTGTGGAGCCATCAGTGGAGGAGCTGAGCAGCACCCATGGGTGCTCATCTGCAGCCCCAGAGCTGTTGGGCTCAGTGCTACCCCACGTGGCTTTGCTCAGAGCACCGAGGGGAGCGGGCAGTGCTGTGCATGGAACGTGCTGGTGCCCTGGCTGCACCCTTGTGCCCCCCATCCTGTTAAATCTGGCCTTCTGCCCTGGCTGATTTGAGCTGGCACAGCTGAGGGACGAAACTCCAACTCCTCACTGGTGTCCCTCACCTCTGCATCAGGTCTGGCCAGGACAGCCCACTCCAGCTGGTCTCTGTGAACAGACTGGGATGTCAGGATGAGCACCAGGCTCTGCCACGGCAGTGGCTGGAAGGAGCAGCAGGAGCTGGAGGGCTTCACCCTGCAGAGATGTGTCCTTGCTCCCTGCAACCACCACAGGGGCTGCCCACCCCAACCCCACATTGGA